TCCTCCTCCTCCTCCTCCTCCTCCTCCTCCTCCTCCTCCTCCTCCTCCTCCTCCTCCTCCTCCTCCTCCTCCTCCTCCTCCTCCTCCTCCTCCTCTCAACAATTACGCTTCGCTTCTTTTTAGACGACCACCACTTGTCTCTCTCCCATGGACCATGAACCGTTTTTAATCACCATGGATAATGAGTGTCCAACAATTCCTGCCGCCAGTCTCGCCTTTTATATCACTTCGCCGCACATTACTTAGGCTAGCTATATTTGTCATTTATCACTTCTTATGCTTTTTATATCATTTTTCCCATCGTATCATCTTTCTTTCACATCATGACTTCCTTCTATACTTCATAATTCATCTTTGTCGCCTTCTATCTTCTTCTCTTTACCTTCTTTTATTTCCATTTATTTTGATGCTTGTCCCTTTTACGTTTTCACTTTCTTCTTTACTATACCGTGTCATTTATGTTTCACTACATGTCAAATACGTCGATTACTTCTATTTCTTCCTTTCCTTTTTCTCCCTTTCTAACATAACACATTACTAACTTCTTCATTTGTTAGGCTGCAGACGTATTGTGTGTTGAAAAGAGGCTAATTCCGTTTCCTAACCGCCTGCCTTCACCTCCTACTCCTCCCTCCTCCTCCTCCTCCCTCCTCCTCCCTCCTCTTCACGGCAGTTACGTTTCGCCTCCTTTTTAGGTGACCACCACTTGTCTGTTCCCCATGGACCGACCGACCAACAGTTAACCATTATTCCATCAGTATGGAAGATGTTCCTCCTCTTCTTTCGCATGACTTCGCATATTCCTTCGGTAGGGAATACTTGTCTTTTATCACTTCTCCTTATGCCCTTTATATCATTTTCTTCTCCTGTCTTCACATTTGTTTCACATCAAAACTGCTTTTCATATTTGTAATTATCTCTCATTACTATTCTTTTATCTTTATCCTCTTCTACTTACTTATCTTTATTTTCTTTTATTTGTGTTTCAATATTCATCTCCATCCTTTGCACTGTTGTCAAGCCTTCCTCCTTTTTACCTTTTTCTTATTTACCTCTACCGCCTCCGCCTTTATTTCAGAGCTGGGCAAGAGGCACTTTCCCACTACCTACCTACCTACCTCAACGCAAATGCCATCCAACGTAACTCCACAGTTGCCGAGTGGAATTAATTTTGCCTCCTGACTGGGCTATTCCTTACTTGTTTATCTGCCAAACAACAATAACGACAACACAACACCGGTCCGTCCCTGCATAATGGCACTTTGTCAGAGGTTTGCAGGAAGGTAAGACCTTCAAGCTACTTGCTCCAGTTGGCTCGAAAAAATTAACGTGGGTGGGCGGATGGACGCTGACGCCGTCGACGACGACGACAACGACGAAGGAGCATACGTGTGTGGAGTCATCTCTCTCTCTCTCCCTCCCGCTGTACCTGCTGCTACTCTTGTCCAATTCCTCTCTCCCTACCTCCCCGTCGTCTACCCATGGACTGACCGACCAACCGACCTGCTTGTCTATTATTTACAAATCCACCCCCCATTCACTTTTTTTACCATTTCTTCTTCCCCCTTTTCATTTCTGCCTTTTCCACCATCCATCCTCGCCATCCACTTGACCACCCACCCACTCATCCATCGGTGAGAAAGTTGTGTTTGCCCTCCTAACTGGACAACCAATCCGCAACGCCTGCCGCACACCAGGTGCTCGTCTTCCCATCGATCCATCCACCCATCGACCGACTGACTGATCGATCCATCGACTCACCGCTTATAATTGTTGCACTGAAGTGGTGAGAGAATATATATATGTGTGTGTGTGATTTATTTAACTACCTACGGACATATTTTCTCTCAGCCGGAGGAGGAGGAGGAGGAGGATGGGGGCAGTGGATAGTGTCGGCACCCCACGCCCCCCTGTCCCAACACGCTGTTAGAGGCACAAGTTTGGAGAGAGTTGGCCCAGTAGAGTAGAAGGCGAGTGTGTTGCATCCTTGTTATGGGGGTCCTTATTGACTCGTGTTTGACATGGGCATCAGCCGCCCCGCACTGCTTAAGTGGTTTGTGCTTCCAAGGCGCTCGCAAGTACTCCAAGTAATGATGTGTCTGTCGTGGTGGGCCAAATCATGCCTCCACCTTCACCGCCTCAAGCCATGCACCAAAATATAATCACATAAAGAGGGTGGCTTTTATTGTTGTTGTTGTTGTTGGTAGTCAAAGCTTTGTCATGGAAGCATGCAGTTCTTACGGCGAGTGTCATACTGCTGCGTCCTCTCTTTCAACGCGTCCAAGAGTGGATCCTCGGATATCCTTGTCGGTGTTTTTGACGCCGACTTCTCTACGGACGTCGTCGGTGCTGAACTCTTGGCAGGCCTATCCAACGAGGTGCTGTGCTGGGCGAATGCACTCGTCGATGTCGTGGAAGGTGTTGAAGTGGCGGAGCAGGAACTGTGGCTCCTGTTCGACTGGAACAACAGAGAACCTTTTAAAATTGACTTAACACTAAAATACAGACAGATTGTTGGTCAGCGGCTTGACTGAATGGATGCAGACGTGAGATTTGCTAGCTCATTTATCAATTGACTTCATCTGGAGGAGCTCCTACTAGTAGGCCTACATGACACTTCCATTCATCCTTTTCTAAGGGCCAACGGTCCCTTGCTAGACTAGCAGTATGCGTAGGGGAAAGAGTTGAAACCGTACTTTCTTCTTTCGCAGTAGGCTAGAACACTTCGATCGAGTGAAGACATGAAATCACGGAACTTTGTCACCATGGCACCCAAGTGCTAACTACAGTAGCATCTGGAGAAGTTTCGATGAAGCGCAAGTATTCAAAGTGCAAAAAAAACTTACAAAATAAAGTGTTATTTAAAGTTATTTCTAGCATCGTGTTGCAGCTCCAACAGTTCCAACACAACAATAACAAGGTATTCGTTGAGGCACTCGAAGGTGTGCATGAGGCTAGCACTCGTAAATGAGCCACCGAGAAATGTGATGGAAGGTCAGCATCCAATAATTATGACCTCTGGTAAAGCCGCGGATTTAAGAATTACCACTAAAAAAGGTTATTTCTTCTTTCCGAAGAACTCCATCATTTGCATGATGGAGAAGAGGTGTATTCTACTAGAAGACGGTTGAGTAGAGTCCTGACACAATCGCAACACTTGCAGCTATTAAAGACAGAAAAGGTAACAAAACTCTTAAAGGACAGAACTTCCTACCCGGACATTCAATGTCTCGGTGTTATCATCTCCAGACGTCATCATCAGTGCTGACTCCCGCATCTGCCGACAGACGTCACAGTCATCCTCACCCACCACCACCTCCTCCTCCATCTTCACTCGTCCACGCGTGATTGGCGAGTTCGTTGACGATGATGTCGTAGAGCCGGTGGATAAGTCGCCACTCCAACACGACATAATCATCCGGTTCATTGCATTACCACCCCCACCACCACGATTGCGACGCACCACTGGAGCAAGCTGGAGGCTACAACTGTCTCTCCTTTCTACTGCCTTTTCCCCACGAAGAGCATCCTCAGCGAGGAGGAGATGGGAGTAATTCCTCGTGGTGTTCACCATCGGTTGCACGACTTTTAGCGATTTCATGGGAAGAGTCTCCACGGTGGTGGGTGGATGAGGAAGGACGTCCTCAGTGGAGCGAGATCGACGAAGTGCAATAGCGCGAAAATTGCCACCACGGCCAGTGGAAAGGCTCTTCTTGCAACCGGCGTTCTCAAAGGCTGGCAGACTGTGTGGACGACGCAGAAGACCGGCTCCCGGTGTATACGTGTCTGCAGCTTCCAGCGCGTGGAGGTCCCCATCAACAGTTGCGAAGTCCAGTTGGCGACGTTGGGAGCAGATTCGCACCAGAGCACAGAGCAGAACCGCCGGCACAAAGGCCACAACTGTGGTGGGAAGTGAATGCGCATTAGGGCACAAAGTGCCCAGTCTTCTAAGGCAGGCATTCCACTGAATCATAACTTCAACCTCTCTCCCCAAGATTAATTTGCATCTCATCGTAATCAAAGGCTCTGACAATGGCCAGTGCCTTGAGCACACTGCAACCGACTTGTCAGCCTACTTACGCATGGAATCGACACCAACCTGCATCCTCATCACCCCGAATGCCACACTTCGGCTGCTTAGTGTCACCTGCTAAGC